TTTTATCTTGCATCAAGAAACAACCTAACCCCTGAATAGAAGCATCACAATATACCTGAAAAGATTGAGTCACATCTGGGATCACCAACACTGGGGAACTAGACAACCTTCTTTTCAACTCCTGGAAACTATCCTCACAACTATCTATCCAAGCAAAAGGTTGATCCTTACGGGTCAACTGTGTCAAAGGAGCTGCTATTTTAGAGAAACCCTTTATAAATTTCCGATAATATCTTGCAAGTCCCACAAAGCTACGCACTTCCGTCATTGTTTTAGGGGGTTCCCATTTTAACACTGCATCTACCTTGGCAGGATCTACAGATATCCCTTCTGTCGATATTACATGTCCCAAAAACTGCACCTGTTCTAACCAAAACTCACATTTTGAAAGTTTGGCATACAATTGTTTCTCTCTTAACACAACCAACACCACCCTCAGATGTTCCTGGTGTTCTTCCCGAGTTCTAGAATAAATAAGAATGTCGTCTATAAAAACAACAACAAACTTATATAAATAAGGACGGAAGATCTTGTTCATGTAGTCCATAAATACTGCAGGTGCATTTGTTACTCCAAACGGCATGACCACATATTCATAATGGTCATATCTCGACCTGAACGCCTCTTCTGTACATCCTCTGCTTTAACCAGTATCTAATGATATCCAGATCTCAAATCAATATTAGAAAAGATTGATGCTCCCTTTCACTGGTCTAATAAATCATCAATCCTCGGCAACGGGTACTTGTTCTTGATAGTCACTTTGTTTAGTTGTCGGTAATCAATACACAACTTGGAGCTCCCATCTTTCTTCTTTACTAGCAATACAAGAGCGCCCCAGGGAGATACACTCAGGCGAATGAACTTCTTTTCCAGCAAATCCTCTACCTGTTTCTTCAATTCAGCCAATTCTGCTGGAGCCATACGATATGGTGTCATAGAGATTGGGCCTGAACCAGGAATTAGATCAATCCCAAATTCAACCTCTCTCTGAGGTGGCAGCCTTGGTATCTCATATGGAAACACATCAGGAAATTCTCTCACAACTGGTACCTCTTCCAGGATATTATCCTTCATTTCATCCATCTGAGTCAGAATCAAATAACACTGAGCTCCCTCTCGTAGCTCTTTCTGAACCTTCCGAGCTGATGTAATAAGCTCATCTCCTAATTCCGGATGTACCAACCTCTTCTGTCCACAGTCAATCAGAATGCGATTGGTAGATAACCAATTCATCCCTAAGATCACATCCATATCCTTCAAAGGTAAACCGATTAAGTTCACCTTGTACTGTCGTCCTTCTACGACACTGGGCACCTTAAACACACATAGGAAAACACCATCAGTCCAGCTGCTGGTGTAGATACCCTCAATTCATAGGGTAGGTCACACACAGATAACTTAAGTTTATCCATACAATTATCAGTAATAAAAGAATAGGTAGCACCTGAATCAAATAAAACTCGTAGAGGTATATCAGAGATAAAACACACACCTTGCACTAAATTCTCTGACCTCAATGCCTCTGCTCCTGGCAAGGCAAACACCCGTCCCGCAGCTCCGGGTTTCGCGTCACTCCCCCGGGTGCTAATGATGCCCCAGCTCGAGACTATAGCATTGGGCTTCGTGGATCGTCTCTAGTCATATGTCCTGGCTTCTGGCAAGTGTAGCAAAGACCTGCCCGAGAAGTCTGGGAAGGATTAGTGAAGGCATTCTGTGGACACTGATTCCTGTAATGAGGGCCTCCACATTGAAAATATTTTACCCCGGATACAGATTCCGATAATCGAGGTGCTGGGGTAACACTGCCACTCCTGGAAGACTGGGGCATGAATAAGGCATCCTCCTCTCTTATCTACTACCCCCACTCGGGACCCCACTTGGGTGGGTCCTCATCACTCTAACTCCTCCCTCCTGGAGTCTCTCTATTGTCTTCGCTTTCTCCATCAGCTCTGGGAATCTCTTGATAGAGAAAGGAACCACCATGAGCTTGATCTCAGCCCTCAAGCCTTCCTCAAACTTCCTGCAAAGTCATTGTTCTGAAGATGTACCTGTATAGAAACGAGATAAGTGTTCAAATCGTACGGCGTAATCATGCATCGTCATATTACTCTGTCTCAGACTCAGGAACTCAGTCTCCTTCTGAAATCTAACACTGCCAGGGAAGTATTTCTCCAGAAACCTCTCACGGAAGGCTTCCCAATTACACACCTCCCCACATGCAATCATCATCCTTTGAATCCCTGACCACCAGAACTCGGCCTCATCCACTAGTAAGTATTTTCCGAATGTCAATTTCCTGTCTTTCGGGCATAAATCTCCTCCAAAACGAGGTGGATTATGCCTCATGAACTCAGTCAGCCCCATCTGCTCTAATTGGTGAAATCCTGCAGAGGATGATGTCATAGTTGGCCTCCACTGCGGGTAGGTAGTCTGCTGTTGCATGGCAGCTGCCAACATTTTCATTGCCCTGACTAGGGCATCTATACTCGGTGGAGTAGGAGTAGGAGGTCGCGGTGTCATCCTATATCAAACGCAACCATTAATACAGAGTAAATATTCACACACACTACATATCAGAGTATAATCACAACGGACTTATCATAGGTTCACTACCCATCTCCACAGATTTACAAGGATACTCCCGCTCTGATACCACTATTGTAACGACCCTAGAAATCGCTACTATAATGATGTATTCGCAAAGTAGTAAACAAGTAAATAACAACATCTATTTTACATTATATTACTGTAATTGTAACATAGATTGAAATTCTGATTCACTAATAGAACTTCAAAATATAGTAACATAATTTATTTATATCTTATACATGTAAAAGTGGCTCCCTCGAAGTTATCCTATCGAACTATCCCTACCTGTCCAGTAGTCACATCTCCATCTCTCAACTCCTTATCCGCTCCCACATAAAAGTGATCATCGCAGTCCCATCCACATGGAAAAATAGGGGTAAGTATTAAATCATTCGATATAATAAAACAAATATAGAAGTAATAATTATATATTATGATTAATTACGAAATTATCAACACACTAAGACACCTTCCGGATGTATACCCTAACTATACCCGAACTCAGAGGCTATCATCTGTGGACACATTGTGATTGGTACCCGCAATACCATTCTGATCACCCTCCACACAGAGTAGGATTACTGGCACCCTTCATCACTCATATTGGAGTACCCCTCCGAGCGCGCCACCAGTCATACCCCATCAACTTCTCACCACCTGATCTCGTAGTCTACCTGACCCAACCAATCAGTGAAGTCTGGGACCTCATTCAGAATCCTCCGACATAGTTATTACACTAATGTACTCTGTACCACCCCGGGTACCATTCAAACATAACAAAAATTATTCACATTTGCCGGATTTTGGACCACCTGTCCTCACGGCTCATTCGGGTCAATAAAAATAGTATTTGACTCATTCTGGCACCAACCCTCCAGCTTAGTCTAGCCAATATATAACGTGTCAGGACTGATTCTGGGCATCAACCCTCAGGCTCAGTCTGACCCACACACGTCACAACACACTACTTTCATTCTCTCTCTCTCTCTTTATATATATATTTTTCTAAAATCATTTCTGAAATCATTTCTGAAATCATTTCCGGAACTATTTTTGAAATCATTTCCGAAATCATTAAATTACTATTTTGCCCTTAATATTTTCTTAAAATTCCATGTATGTCCCTAAATGACTATTTTACCCTTGGACATTTTTGAAAATTCCTTCCATGTCCCCAAAATGACTATTTTGCCCTTGGACATTTTCAAAAATTCCTTCCATGTCCCGAAAATGACTATTTTACCCTTGAACAATTTCAAAAATTTCATTTATGTCTCTAGGATGTAAAATGACTATTTTGCCCTTGAACATTTTCGAAAATTACATTTATGTCCCTAGGATGTAAAATGACTATTTTACCCTTGATCTTTTTAAAAAATCCCCACCATATCCCTTTCCTCTTCCTTCGCCCAGTAACAATATCAAATTTTGCAGATTTTGGCAGATTTCAAATTACTCAGTTTTAGACAACCAAACTAATCCCAAATCGAAATTAAACATGAATTATATCTAATTTAAGTTGAAAACAACAATTTTACCATATAATTCACCCTTAATTTTAAGAATTTCAAAAACTTTCAAACCATGAACAGTGTATCCAAAATCAGAAATTCTTCAAAATCAAACATTTAAATAATTCATATCTCTACTCTTATTCCTTATTTACAAGGTATTCACAGACTATCCAACAATTTAATTTCATATATTGAATGAATTAAACTTCCCCTTACCTGGTGTTGTATTTCTACCGAAGCTTTCCCACTTAATTCAAGTTCTCTCCCGTTTCACCAAATCCTACACGAGTAGAGTCTCGTTGCTTGAAATTTAGACAATAGAAGAAGAAGAATGAGGAACATATGATATGGGAGGAAGAATTTCCCGCAGAAACCATTCCTCTCCCTTCGAACATATAAAAGAAAAAAATTTACTATATATGAGGAAAACTTCGTTACAAAGTTTTTTTGCACAGTAAAAAGCATACGTCACAAGTTTCATCCTTTCATATTAACTCTCATTGAGTGAATATTCTTTGGCGAGATGTGTTAGCTTCACCCATTCAAACTAGCTTTCATTAGAGAGATGTTTTTAATGATATATACTAGTTACACCCTTTCACACTAATTCTTATATTTAAGTTATCGTAGCTATGTCATTTCACACTATTAAGCGAATATTTATGACGAGTTATAGTAGTTTCATATTAACTCTTAAGGGTATATTTATGATAAATTGTGTCTTTGAGAGTAGCTCTCATTAGATGGATATATCATAACAAGTTGTACTAGTTACGTCCTTTTTTCTCTAGGAAATTTTATTTGAAGACGAGTTTTTCACACTAGCACTTTGTTAAGGAGGTGTTTTTGTATCGATGTGGTTATTAGCATACGATCTATGCTTTCATCTTAACTATGATGTGTTTAGGTGTGTTACATTCCAAGTTCAAGGTATCATTTTCTGGCATATCTCTTCCAATTCATATGCTTCTTTATGTAGGAAGTCAATTATTCTATATGGACCTTTCCAATTTTGGATGAGTTTCTTTTTGTCATATCTTGATGGACTTCTCCCATTTTTTGTGTGTAGAGAGTCAATTTATATTATGAAAGATATTTTATGCAATATTTATATTATATAAAAGAAACATTGAACTAATATTAAAACAAAAATATTTATATCATTTTTTATCATATCAAAGTTGTTTTGAAATTAAAATATTTGTATTGTTTATAAAAAATTTAGATTTTTTTTTCATCTATTTAGATTCTTTTAAAATCATAAGATCCTTTTTAGTTTTTAAATTTTTGTGATATTAATATCCATAATGACAAATTGGAGAGAGACTAGAAAATGTCATAAAAATAATAATATTATATATCAAATACATTATCACGAAGGCAAAGTATTTTATTACTCAATGTATAAGTTTTACAAAGATAAAATTGTAAATTCTCTCAAGTATAATTTTTAAAAGAACAAAATTATAAACTCTTTCAGGACACAAAACTACCAAAATATTTAATACACTAAAGAAACTTGTCGACATGTGATGAAAAACACTTAATCAAAAAGACTTTTTCCTCGATAATGATTTTCTTCACTATAACAAATTTTATAAAATTCATGATTTTATCTTTGTAATGATATTTAAAAAATAAATATTGAATGTTATTTAATAATACATAATTGATAATATTGTATATCATCATAAATGATATTTTTTTCTCAACCAATATATTTTTCATATAAAATAAAATTAATAATATTTATAAATTAAATATCATGCAATCATATTTTATATAATAATAGAGAATCAAGGATATACACCTAGGAGAAAGATAGATAATTCTAAATTCATGCATCTCATATTAACATTTTTAAATTTAATATCATTCAATCACATTTAGCATGTCATGGAGGGTTAAAAGCATATACCTTAAAAAATTGAAAGTCAAAATATCTTGTATTTATGCTTTTCATTGCATGAATTCATGATAATAATATTATTGTGTCTAAAAGATAAATTATTTCAATAAAGATATTGACATGAGAATTTATTTTAAAATAAAATATTTATAATATAATGTTTTATATAGTAGAATACGATGACAAAATATAATAATATTAATATGATAGGTAAGATATGATATCAAATTTTTAATTCATCTTCTTTTAAATCACAAAATTTGTACGAGTAATTGAATAAAGAATAGAATTTTTTTTAAAATGTGTTTTTGACTATCGTTGAAGAAATTGAATAAAAAATAGAAAAAATATTTTTTTTAAATGTGTTTTTGACTATCATTGAAGAATTTATAACATGATTAAGAGGACTATTATTTAAAACTAATAAAAAAAATTCTATGTCTCTTTTACATGTTCATGAACATTACAATAAAAAATAGAATATTATGCTTTTTTAATAAGCTAGAAAATATTTCTTTTTATACTCAAACGAGAAATGATCATGAAAGTTAGAATATTATATATTTTTTTAATAAATTAGGAAATATTTCTTTTTATACTCAAACGAGAAATGACCACGACATTCATATCACATTGTTTATTCTTCTTTTAAATTATTTACATTTAAAACTTATTATGACTCATCAAATATGTTTTATATCATATCTAGCTAATACAAGTTCCTTGATAGTATTACAATCATTACTATCATTTTTTTTATGAATAACTTTAAAAACATAAAAGTTAGACAAAAGAATTATAATATAAGATAAAACAATTATTATTGGAGAAACATGTAAAATATTAAAAATTAAAGAAAAAACAAAGGCAAAATCAAAATTTAAATTACAATAAAAAGTTAAGTATCCTTTCTCAATAATTTGAACTTTGTTTCTATTTGTTGTAGAAACATATTTTATATAAATGATTTAACTTGAGTGATTTTTAAAGTCAAATATCATATTATTTATAATCCTAATATCAATAATTTATATATCATTAAAAATATTAATAATATTATCTTAATTATTTATATTTGTAACAATTACAAATATCTTTTCACTTTTCACTTTTAGTTAATACTGAAAAGATATCATCATAACATGAAAGAGGATTAAAAACTCTTGAAGATTGAATAAGTCACTAAACTTTTTCCTCCATTTGAAGCATTTAAAGGATCTAAAACCTATACAATTGTCACCGTTGGTACTAACTTAAAAAATATAAATGAAAATGTATGCTCATTCTCTTATCCAAATTATTATTCTCGATTTGTTTTTGGAAGATTGATAAAATGATGGCAGAAAAATTTTACTTTGCGCCGATATTTTTGCCAAAAATTAATTGTCTTTAATTGAACAAATAAAGAGGGTAAAACTTCAATATTTATTGATTGAGTTATATAGATAACATTGAAGAATAAACTCCAAAATAATATGAAAAAAAAAAAAAAACTCACCCTACAAATATTCTTTAACAATTAGTCATTAATAATATAAGAGAATGTACGAGAATGAAAAAATGAAAATGAGTACGTAGAAAGTGAAATTGTCTTGATTTATTTTAGATAACAAATAACATTATTTTAAAACTTAATTATAATAATTAATTGGGTGAGTAATTTTACTCATTTATTATAAAATAATTATACATATTTTTATTTATATATTGATGTTTAATATCTGCTTGATAAATAATATTAAATTTTAAAAATTATCTTATTTTATGCCACGATAACTATTAGTAGAAATTAATAGTCACTTTACAAATCGAGACACGAATACTATCTTATCTTATCAAAGAAGATGCGAGTTGGTAAAATACCATCATGATCTTCCCTATTCTCATCAAATTTGAGACGATACCCTCTTATAAATACCTTCAACGACTACCTTTTGAAAAGCTCATATATAAGCAACGATAATATACTAAATTTTGTAAAATCAAGTAGTTTTGAAAACTGCATTATTCTCTCTTTGAGTAATTTGCTACAAGTTTGAACTTAACCTTCAATTTTTTTCTGTGCTAAGGACGTTTTATATTTTTCTATGTTAATACGTTTTATAATAGTAAAAGCCTGAGAAGAGTAATGTTTAAAGCTTTATCACTCAGGATAAAACTCAATGAACAAGGTAAAATTTTAAACAAATAAAAAATGATAAGAAATATTTAAAAACCTTCAAATTGTAGGAATCTAAAGAGACGGATAAAGACTTAGAAGGCTGATATTATGACTTACTATCATGACAGAAATTTAAGAGGATGCTAAACACAAAAGACAATAATCTTCACTTTAAGAAGAAGGACAAGTACAACATACTTGAGGAGGATGCTAAACACAAACGGGCTGGACAGATACTACAAACCCTGGATATTTCAGCAATGTTCCTAATGACAACATAAACCTGTTGACAAGTTAACAACATTCATGTTTCAATGTTTTTAAAGGACAAGTATACCATACCTGGAAAATCCTGCTCAAGAAAACAGCAAGATAGGGAATCAGGCTGCCTGGCAGTTCATCTAGTAGAAGAAGCAAATACACGCATAGAATTCTCAGTACAGAGACAGAGTTCTTAACATCATTGCTCATTACGAAAATTATATACAACAAATCAGAGTTTAGAAATTGCCAATGCAACAGATAACAAAAATTATCTAAAGGATGAACAAAGCTTCTACTTCCATGGACTTGGCTGTCTAACATCTCTGAAAACAGAGGTGCCACCAGATGCCGCTGGGGAAGGGGATGATGCAATGTAACTAGTTCCTGACACTGACACTTGAGGTAGATTCGTTAGATTTGCCTGATGACCTGAGAGAGCAAAGCGTGATGGACTACCAGCAGCTCCCATATTTGCTCGGGAAGGATGCGAAATCTTCATACAAAAGGCAACAACGAAGTACGTGATGAGAAAACAGGGCAACTCAAGACAGTATTCTACTTATGGATTCCAGCATGACCTTTACTTATATATTCAGCTTCTGAACACAGCATAATCTACTTAATCGTAATCTATCTAGTTTTGCAGAAAAAAATACGTTTAAATGCATGCATCAAGATAGTTATTAAGACCCCTTGCAAGTTTCTTGGAAGACAATTGCATTGGAGATGCTCGAGGTAAGCAACTAAAACAAGGAGAAAGAGTATATTGAACAGTTAAGAATAAAGAGTGACATGTGCAGCCTAGACAATAACACCAAACAGAAAACATATGTTCATACTCTATACAAATACAAGCTAGTTCATAGAATCATAACAATCAAGAGTACATAAAACAAGACCGTATTCAATTCAGACTCTGTAAATTGCAATTTATAAAATTCAACATATTTTGGTACTTTCAACCCTTTCCAAAACTGAGTCAGTAACTAATGGGGCTAACTCAGGTGCACAGCATTTAAGGTTCAGTTATAATTTGCGTTTAGTTAGGCTATGTTAGAATGGTGAAATGAAGTGTAATGATATTAGGTTCTATTGTTTGAATTGTTTAGAATTGAATGAATGGAATAGAGCTAGATGTAAATGTAATGCATTCCAATTCAGGCCATAGAACCACTTCTTTTTCACCCGCTTTATCACAAAATAACCAAACAAAGGAACAATAACTTCCTTTCTAACATTAATATCGAAATTTCAAACATACATAAGTCTAACTAGCCTGCCATTCTAGACCCTCTTACTCCTACATGCACCCTATAACATAATCACACATTCATTTCAACAACACCGATCACAGAGCCAATTCACATAAAAAAAGACATCAACAACATGAATTAACTGTAATAGATAATATACATTACCGCATTTTGTTGAACACTAGGGGTCCTCCGAAGAGGAGATTCTGACGAAGGTGACATGCTACTTGGCCGAAGTATATGGCGAGAATGCATGGTATGGTTAGCCAAATCATCCCCGTCACCACCATCCACCTCACCAGCAAGATTTCCCTCCGACCCCAACCTCGGGGGCATATGCCTGATCATCGACCCAGGATCATTGGTTCCATCCCCTTGAAGTGGACCCGAAGGACCACGCATCCCAACCATTTGCATACTATTTCGTCTCTTAAACTCCTCCTCCGCATTCAATATCTGCCAATTAGCACAGACCAAATTATCATTCACAAAATGCAAGGGAGACACACAGGACACAGCCATGGTTTAAATTGTGGCTACGATTTCGTCATGATCCTTGACATTGCAGGAAAATACGGCTGATGCGGCCTGCAATAGCAGATGGTGATTTAAAACCAAGGACACAACACAAATAACACCTTTGCTGATTATTACCAAATCCTCTGCACAAAAATGACATGTAACATTTTATCATTGAGAAAAAGACCTGCAAAACATATTCGATATCCGAGGAGATCAAGGTGGATCCATACTTGTCGGTTTTGTACTATCATTTACCTGCTTCAACACCAACACCAGGTTATGTTTATTTTCATTCAAACCGTGCAACTTCACTTCAATTTCCTTTTTCCTTTTCTCCTTTTCGTCAGGAACATCCACATTGTCAATGACCTAGAAATAATTACAACACACGACAATCTCAAACAAACAACGCAAAATTCACGTACATTAGACGATTTTTAAAAAATAGCAAAAAAATCCAAAAGCGGTTACCGGCTCCGCCTGTTTTTCCGTCGGAACGGCAGCACAATCAAACGGTTTCTTCTCGGAAGCCTCACCAACCATGGCATCGACGAGCGAATCGGATTCACCGATCGGGTTCTTGGCGGAAGTAACGGCCACCAGTAGCGGTTCTTTGCAATCTTCGTCTTCTTGGGAGACAGCGGAAGGGCCTTCCATTTGAGTAACGGTGACGGTGGCGTCGGGTGGCGGTTCAATTTGGGAGTCGTTGGAGTTAGGGTTAGGGTCAGGGTTTGAGGCTCGAAGGCGCGAGAGTGCCTTGGAACGGCGAGCGAGAAGATATTTGAAGTCTTTGAGAGAGATTTTGGGAGCTGGCATAGGCCATCGTCGAGGCACTTCCGGTACTCGATGAAGATTTCCTCTGTAGAGTGAAATGGCCACCATTCTTGACTCTTTTTGGTTTTCACTCATCTTCCGCAACACAATTTGAGTTGTTATATAGGTTTCCTAAAGAATTTAAAAATTCTCAAATTTATTTTTCTTTATGTAAACTTACGCTTACCTTCACTGTCATCTTTCCATGTAGCCGGTAAAATAAACATAAATTTATGTTCGAACAAACATTTTCATACGAATTCTTAAATAAGAAAATAAGAATAAAAAAAAACTTATTCATTAGTAAAATTAGTTATAAGTTAATATGTAAAAATATTTATTGAGTTTTTTTAATTTTAAATTACGTATAAGTTAACTTTAGTTTATAAATATTTTTTTAAATGCTAATAAAGAAACTTTTCCAATCATATTAAAGTGTATTAAAATTTATATACGTCATCGTAGTAGGATTTTAATCATAGAAATGTTGTAATTTGTGTAGTAAGAATACTTTAGAATTTTTTTAACAATATTGATGAGTGAGAAATAATTATGTTTCTATTTATTTTAATATAACTAATGATATAAAAAAAGGTTATAAAAAATATAATTCAATTAATTAAGTTAATTAATATTTAATTAGCATATTAGATTGGGAACAATAGTCTCAGATTGTATGAAAAAAATTATAATCAGACTGTAAAATTCATTATAAATTATAAATTGATTATATATTAGTATTTTTGTATATCTTTTGCCAATTAATATTATATTATTTAATATGTTTTAATTACATCATTTTTTTTTCAAAACTCAGATTAAAAAATTATTTTACATAAATATATTACAAAACTGTATATTACTTTAAATTATTTAATACTCATTTTTAGATTAATAATTAGTACTGGATATATTTTGAAAATATATTACAATATAAATATTTTGATTATTGTAGTATTGTTCTTCAATTTTAATATAATATGACATGAATGATTATAATGATATTTTTTTATGGATCAATAAAATTATTTTTTATATTAATTATTGATAATATAATGTTGAATAAGAATTATTTATATATAACATAATTGTATTTTCAATTGCTACAAACCTAACATTTAGAGATTTTAGAAGTAAAAGTAACCCTGGTCATATCTATTTGTCTAATTTTATGTATGAATTTATGTTCTGAAAAATCATTTATTACCTCGTTTATAGGTTAACAAAAAAAAAAACTTTATAATTTGTTAGTTATTGATTGTAAAATTTACTTAGATTTTTTATCAATTATTCTGAACAGAGACTCTTATTTGATAATGGACTCTAAGAAATAAGACAATTTGAAATATTATTTACTTATTCAGTTTAAGTATAAATGAAATTAATTTTACCTTTTGACTTCGAACTTCACTAATTTAGACCTTTTAAGCACGTAAAGAGCCCAATCCAACATTATCCAATGTTATTTTTTTAATGTTGAAAATACATTATTTGTCAGAATAATTATATTACATAAAAAATAAGAAAGGTAAAAGATGAGAATAACTTATAAGTATTTATGAAAATATTTAATCTATGCTATGATTATAGATAGATTTATATTTCTAGGAATATTTTAGTAAATTGAATATAATATCAACTTTTTGTAAACTTTTAAAAAAATATATTTTAAAAAAGTGGTATGGATTTATTATTATATATTGACTACACTAATATCGGTTTATTACATGGACAAAATGTTTTCAATTCCAAGTTTTAATAAAAAATATATTATAAAGTTCAGTTTAGCAAAAAAGAAAAAAGAAAAAAAAGTTTACTAAACCATGATTTATATTTGGATATTTTTATTAAAAAAAAAGCTTGACAAAATCAAATTGGTTTTAAATATATTAATAAAAAATACTTTGAAATGTGTAATTATTGAAGAGTGCATGAAATTTATAAAGAATATTGACATTATCTTCCTATTTACTTTCAATATCTTTCAAGATGAACAACTATAATATATTGTTAGTAAAGTAAACATAATCAATAAATATGAAAAAAGAGAGAGAGGCTAAACAGGCTTAAACCACAATCAACAATGGAAAATTGCAATGTCCGGATAGAACCTTGCAATACTAATTTTCTTAATAGTCATAAAAGTGCAGAATTAATATAAATAATGTTTCCATCAACTTCTTTTCCATGATGAAAGTTGCATTTTGCTACCAATGTAGAATTAACGGTGGTGAAAATACAATCAGTGCATAAAATTAAAAGGGATGATAGTTGATAATTATCTCTATTTGTAACTGACAAAGAAATCCACTGTTACTTGTAGTCAAAAATTGATTCTTGAAGACAATTAAACATCAGTATTGAATTTGATGATCCAAAAACTTGTTGGATGATCCCAGACAGAATTCAATAATGCTTTTCACTAGAGAAATAATGTTTAAATATGCCCAACATTGAATTGCTCAGAATATATCTTACTCAGTCTTAACATTTATCATTCCCACTTAGTAGTCATTGAAGAAGATCGTGACATTTGACGTATGATGCTTGTTTTGAAGGGAAGAAGGAACAGAAGCAATAACATGTTAGTGCAGAATACACAATCCTGGACAAATTTCTTATTGGGAAATTATTATTTCAATAATTAACTCAAGTTGGATGGTTCCTCCATAAGGTGTGGAAAACTTAGAAACATCTCATTTTCTTGATCAAGCATGGCTTCTATGAATGAAATGTCAGAGGATGATGAAAATTTGAAGTCACTACTTGAGGCTTGATGTTGTGACTTAACCTCTTTCTTATTCCAACTCTGTCTAGTCACCACATTCTCTATTTGGCTCAGCAAGCCCTTTGAAACCATGATGTCTTGCTCCTGATAATCAAGTGGTGTACAAGCATCTTCTAGAAGGAAGTCATTCCAAGTAAAAGCTGAAGTGGAACAAGTAGAAGGAGTAGATGGTGATGAAGTTTTTGACAAACGATCTTCCCCAAACACAGATACCTGGATGGTCTCATTCTCAAAGTCTATGCAATTTGAGGCACCTGACACCATTGGGATGGATTGGAACCGAGCAAGATCCATTGAGAGGTTATCACCATGAGTTCTATTGAATAAAAAGTTATTTCCAGTGGTTTCCATTTGGGGTGGTAGCTTTTGTTGGTCATTGATGTTTGTAAATCCTTGTGGCATGGTTTGATGGGGTTCGGATTTTAGCATCATTGCACTCTTGAAGTCTTTATTGATAGACCCTATTCGGTTAGTTGGTTTCTGGCAACCCCCAATGTTTCCATAGTCAGCAATGAGTCTAGAAAAGGGCTTGTGGGTAACATGGTCAATCCCCATTTGAGAGAGCTTCTTTTTCAGCTTTGTGTTCCAGTAGATCTTTACATCATTGTCTGTTTTCCCAGGAAGTTGCTGGGCTATTATAGACCACCTGCCACAGAGATATTAAAACTGCCATATCATTCTGAATGCCCTAAACCATGAAAAGTCAGCAATAATATTTTTCATAAACTTTGGATGTAAAAAATATGGTATAAAATAAAGAGCAAATATCATCATGTGGTGCTCATAGAATAAATACAGCCAAGGTATTAATATTGTTCTCTCTTAACATTTGTACCTCTTTCTATTGCCAAGAATTAACTCCCCAATACCAATGGTGTTCAAACTCTAGATTTTGTAGAAAATTCAAATGGCAACAAGAAAGAATAAGAGAGCAATATACCTGCAGGAGATTATGGCTAGAGTTGGAAGAAAGACAAACCATAATATTTGATACATTTATTTTCTTATGCAAGACAACAACGAGAAAGCAAAGAGCTACATGACTTCAACCATAGATAATCATAAGATAGCTAGCTGCATTTAGTCACGATAAACCAAAAAAAGTAGAGGAAACAAGACCTAGTTGAAGAAATAGGCCACAATGTTCACCTGCTACCTATGGCTGCATGAAGCTTAATGATTAGATCTTCTTCTTGGACTGTGAAATTGTCGAGCTTAAGATCAGGCCTGAGGCAGTTACTCCACCTAAGCCTACAACTCTTTCCACACCTTTTGAGTCCTGTGTTAATGTCCCCAGATGCAAAACTTTAGGTTGAAAATTGAGAATAGAGATTCCATGAACTTGGAAGTTAAAAAAAAGTTCTCTAACTTGTTTTTTTGGGGACAGAAGTCCAGTTACCAGATCCATGCCTGGAGCCTGCGAGTTTCTTTGTATCTTCTTCTGTAGTCCACACACCCCTTTTGACATTGACTTTTTCACAAGGAGACCTCGCCATCTGTTTCATTAGGATTGAAGTTCTTTAAAAAAAGCATATATGAAAGAAAAAAGAAAATGACATAAGACAAGGACAAATAGAGAGAGAGGTGTCTTGTGCGGCTTCAAATAACTGTGTTCTTCAAACACTCTTTGCGAAGAAAGAGAGAATGGAGGAGATGGGTTTAAAGGTAGCACAGGTATGGAGGCAAGGAATGCATGAAACTTTGTTATGAATTAAACTTAATTTGCATGATGATTGTCATCATTCATAACAAACTTGAGAAGAGAGATGAAATAAAGAACACCACTTAGCACAACAATATTACTCACATGGTGACGTGCTTGTATCATGTATTTCAAGATCAGGTTTGATTCCGGTGAATTATTTGGTTAAACTTAGATTAAATTTAATTGGATTAAATTATGGTTGAAACAAATTGGTTGGTTCATTTTCTAAAGCAAATGACTAACTCTTGCTTCCAATATCCTCACAAGTTTGATGAGAGTATTAATTTAAACTAAACATTCAACTAACTATATTGATACTTAAGCTTTGCAACTGTATTCTTTTTAAATTTAAATTAATGCAACCACGAGAATTCTATAGTTCAAGTAAATATTAATAAATTTGTTCAAATTATTAGTTAGCATTAGCATGTTGTTAATTTTAGGTTTTTCACTAATCTCCATTTACTCATTTCTCTTAACAAAATTCGTTCAATTATCACAATTTATGAACTAGTCAACTATAGAAATAATTCAAGATTGTTATTATGACCTATTACAGCGAGAAATGTTAGTATCATTAACATACATATAGAAACAAAAGTTTACAATTCATTGTTTTTTAAACTATCGGTTCAATGGTTCTAATTAAACAAAATTCTAAAAATTAGTTTATTGTTTTTAAATAATCGAATTAAATTAGAATAAAATAAAAACAAAAGTAATCATGGTTTTGATAAAAACAAATTTAAAATTATTTTTAATATAATTTTTTTATAAAATATATAAGATATTTTTTTTTATTTTTTTATTTCATATTCCTTTAAATAATAATTATTTTATGGTATTGTTTTAATAATTACTTTAAATAATATATTGAATTGAATTCGAATTCCACCTTTACATCCTAATCCGTATCTTCACAGTGATTTTAAAAACATTGTTTCAGTTAATTTAAAAATATTCACATGAATATGAAAAACTAACCAAACATATTTTCATACATTTGTAAAAGTAATTTTTTAATTATAAATTCTTCCTGTATTTTCTTTTATTTGTTTTTATGTAATAAATTTGAATACTGATTTTCAATTGATTTATTTTTATATTTTTCTCTTATCAAATAGAAATCCTCTATAAAATTTACAGATTGATATTGAATTTTTAAGAGTTTACATTTTTAATTTTTTTATTATTAGCACCATCTTAAAGTTTAAATCAAAATGTATTTATTTAAATTATAAAATTATTATTGTTTTAAAAATTAAATTGAATAATAATAATTAATGTGTTATTATTTTGAAAATTAAATTAAATTATTATCTCCACACAACATTGTAGAATATCTACAATATATAATTGTTTATATAAGGTATTTATCTTAAATTAGTGAGTTAAACTTTATTTTTTGTGTTGCTTGTTTTAGTTTAAAATTAATTAAAAAACTATTATATGAAAACACGTCACATATGCAGATAAATTTAGTTAAATTTAAAGTATAGATAAAATTTACTTATTAAAAAAATTGATTATTTTAAAATAAAAAAATAAACACATAAAAAAACTGAAATCTATTTATTTTATTAAACACATTTTTTTTAAAAGAAATATTTACAAACTGACGCATTATTTCTTTCTTTCATATGTAAGTAGAGTGACTAGTATAAACAACGACGCCGTTTTTACCATACACATGCTAGTTTCTTATGAAGCCAAATGTCAATTAACGCGCCACTAAAGACTCTTGCTACTTTTCAAAACGTGCAAGCAAAACCCCTTTTTCTTTTTTAATGCGTTTGTCGTGGCGTGCCACGTGTCCAGGATGAAAACTCTTCGTCATTAAGGAGACTCGTTCCTTGAACCAGCACCAGCCACGGAAAAGAAAAAAAAAGGACGCAGTTTGAATCGGAGTGTGTAACCTGCTTACCGTTTCGATAATTTAATTTAAAATTTTAATTATTATTATTATAAAAAATTATTAAATTATATATACGCTTATCATAAAATAATGTATATAAATTTAAATATTATCAAATAATACTTTAGAAATATTTTATTTACATATTATTAAAATTAAAAAAACGTTAATATATATATATATATATATATATATTATTATTTAACAATCTAAATAATATAAAAGTAATTATATATAATAATAACGATTAAAATTTTAACAATATAATTAATATTATATAAAATAAAATAAAATTTTGTAATTATCCTAAATATAAATATTTATTATAATTATTATATAAAAAAATATTTTATTATTTAATTTTATATAAAAAATAAGTTATGTTTTAAGTCTAGAAAACTTCACATAAATCTATATTTTAATTTCTGTTCAGAAAATCAAACTGTACCAAAACTTTAATATTTTGACCTTTAAAAAAAAAAAAAACTTCACAATTTAAAAATATTTTATCTTACCATTTTAACAAAACTATTGTGTACTTTTAATCTCACATAATAATTTTCACTGTTTGTTTATGGAAATTAAAAACACATTTGCCGAATTATAAAGATTAAAATGGTTTTTTACAATTTAAAAATGAAAAATATATATTAAATTTGAAATGTAAAACCGTAATTAAGCATTCTTACAAGTATGTGTAAGGGAAAAAACTAAAAAGAAAATTGTTTTAAAAAATAATATAAGATCAATTTCACAAATTAATTTATACATAAAATGAATAATTTTAGTTTATGAAAAAGTTATATTCTTTTATAAATTTTGAAGGTTAAATACATCCGAACAAAATCTTAGTATAACAAAAAGTTAAATAATAATAATACAAGAAAAACAGAGTAGAGTGGTAGGAGACAGGTCAAGAATGCATGGTTGACATTATAAGCCAACTAATTATTAACATAGACAAAATCCTTTGCAGCAGCATATGAATATGAATCATATATACATACATGCATGCTTCTTTTGTTCTGTTTATGATTAACATCTGGCACACAGCCAAATCAAGCTCTAACCAGGTATAAAAAATTAAAGTCTCCAGCGCAAGAGACAGGTGCAAAATTGCAGATAACTTCTTTTGAGACAATGATGCTTCTTGCAACTTGTTCCTTAGGAAATAACGTTTTAGCTATAAACAAATTAAGTTTATCACCGCTAAATTCATTTGCATTTAATAGAGTAATTAATCTATGTCTTATAAAGATAGCTTTTATTTCAAATTTATGGTGTGGTTAGAAATGCAGTAGATTGAGTGTATTACAAAGAAATAACGTATAAAATAAGATAATATTAGAATACAAGATTTTTTATTTTTTTTATGTTTGTTATTTTGAATTTTTCTAATATAAATTTATGTTTGTGTGTCGCAAAATTAAGATGAATATTTCCCTAGTGAAATTATAATGAGGATGGAAAAAGTGATCGGTAAAATAAGTTACATTTCTTGTGTTATACATACATTTTGAAGGGATTGATTTTATTGATAAAAAGGAAACATATGAAGCATATTATATGACAAATTAAGACATGAATTTGGTATATGACAGGAAAAAAGAGATTTAAATTTCTCATCAAATTTTGGCAGCAAATATCCTAAATTTAATAAAGACATTCATACATTATAATGATTGAAATCACTAAAAATATCATTACTTCAATTTTAATATAAAGAAATAGAGATATGAAATACTAACATCAATCACATAATAAATATCTAAATGCTCCAATTTTTGGAAAAACATCTTGGATTACCAATGGATCATAATAATGATGTTGTTGCTGCTCATCGTGAAAAAAAATGTCTTCATCGTTGTTCAAATGAAAAACCTCACACGCACAAGAAAAGACGAAATCTTGAAGATATATAAAAAAATTTATGTTGAATCATATGTGGTACAACAGAAAAGTTGAATTGATAAAACAACTTCTCAATTTGATATAAATTTTATATTTTACATTTGGTTTGATATAAAACTTTTTCCTTTAATTTAAAAAATACAATCTTTTTTTTATTAATAGTTACTAATTAAAAAAAAGTTCACATAAAAAATACATTTTACATTAATGTAAAATAGACTAATAAGGTGATTTATTCTGAGAAGGCAAAACACTATTGATACGTCACATCCAAAAAATTATCATTCTTTCTAAAGAAAGGCAAATAATAATGTATACAATATATCTCAACTAAATATTGATTACACGGAATTTTTATTTTCAACATGAGTTGAAACATTTAAAGTAAATTGTTAGAATAATAAAGAAAAATAAAAGTAAATCGCTAAGAAGTAAATGTACTAAAAAAAATAAATGACAGAAAAATAAATCTAACTCATTAACAAGGATAAAACAAAATTTGATAAAGAAAATAAATCAAAGTGATGATCAAAATTGTAAATAACTCCATTAAAAATCATTGTTATATGTTTTTAGTGTTGTTTAGAATGTAAGTTTCTTTATACAATTTTACAATCAATTCTTTTACATTTATTTCATTCTATTTATATTTTTCTTTCGTTAATCGCTAAAATAAAGTTACCAAATTAATAAATAAAAAATAAAAATAAAATACACTCAAATAACATAAAAATTCATGAACGATTACTTTATTATAAGTGTCTTCCATTTCTTCATAAATAAGATAATAATTATCTTCATATCTATTTGGTATGTTACTTCTTCTTGATGTCATATTTTTTTCCATCTTGCACCATAATCTTCTATATCTCCAACTCTTCAACTTTCAATACTAAAATAGTCATACCATGTCACTTTATTTCTCAACATATCTCTCAATCACCCTTTTTTTCGTTACACGTTGTTTTGAGTAT